GTGCTGTTTTTATACCACAGTAGCTACAAATCTCTCTTGCAGTACTCTTTACAATAACCAAAATCTGGAAACAACTGAAGTACCCAAGAACAGATGAGTGAATAAAGAAACTGTGGTACATCTATACAACAGAATAAGGAGCAGCCATTAGGAAAAATTTAATCATAAAACTTACTTTAACATGTATGAAAATTAAGAGAGTCATATAGAATGAAATGAGTCAGAGGGAGAAAGAAAAACAAGAATGATTGTACTCATTTGTGTGATATATAAAATAAAGCATAGTATGTGAATAATACCCAAGGAGAGTCGAAACAAGAGTCAGGAGGACAGATCCATGCAGAAAGTTTGCCATACAGTAGGTGAGGGAGTGCAGTTAGGACAAAGAATGGACTGCTATGACATGATATTTGGAAATGATTACTCTGGACAAGAACCGAGTGCTGAAAGGAGGTAAAGGGATATGCATGATACCCTTTCAGTAGCAAACAACATTACTTAATCTGAAAATGAGAGAGAGAGAGAGAGAGAGAGAGAGAGAGAGAGAGAGAGAGAGAGAGAGAAAGAGAAAACAAAAATGTCTACCATAGAAGCAGGTTGTGGGGATGGGGCTGGGAGGAACTGGGAACATTGGGGCCAGGAAATAGGCACTGGTAAAGAAATGGATGTTGGAACATTGTACAACTGAAACAATCAATCATCAACAGCTTTGTAACTGTGCATATCACAGTGATTCTATTAAAATTTCAAAATAAAGGGCTAGAGTGATAGCACAGCGGGTAGGGTGTTTGTTCTGCACACGGCCAACCCAACTTTCAATTTGGAAACAGAGAGGTCGCACAGATAACTTTATAAAAAGAAAAGGAAAAAAAATGATGCTATTAAACCTTGTAAATATTCTAAATCTTATAGAACAAAGATCTTTCTTTATAATCTTCAGAGCAGGATATCACAGAAATTCTGCATGATGTGCTCATCTTTATGGTATATATCACTGAAAATATTCATATTTAAACAATGTTTAACATGTTTAAGAATATAAATTGGAAATTAACAAACGTTGGGAAAAGTGAATGAAATATTTGACATCTCATAAAATTTAGCTATTAAGGGAACTCTTAAAACCTTTGAAAATCTATTTTCAAGTTTTCCATCAGGTCAGTGAAATCATGGTTATGAGTTATCCTGAGGGCATTCATGCACCCACAGGATACACAACCTGTTGGAACTACATAAATACATACCAACACAGAGATAGGTGAGCAAGCAAAGTAGATCTATAGTTATAGTTTGAGCAATGGGAGAGCTGTGCTAATTGTCTTGCTTGCCCTTCCACCTCTATCACCAATGAATATGAATGTGACTCAATATAGGATAAAGAATTAATCCAAAATTCATCATATTGCTAGCCTTTATGCATATTAAAACTTATTTAATCATATCACTGGACATATTATTTTTCCCCTCTACATAAGAGGACAAAGTAAGTAATTTGATTATGCTGGCGATGCAGTAACTTAGTTTAACAAATTCATAGACATCAACATTAATGAAACCTTGTTACCAGAACAATCTTTAAAAAGGAACGGAAGGAGCTATGTTGAGAGCACAGCAGGCAGGCTATTTGCCTTGCACGCGGCTGATGCGGGTTTGATTCCCAGCATCCCAGATGGTCCCCTGAGCACCATCAGGAGTAATTCCTGAGTGCAGAGCCAGGAGTAACCCCTGTGCATTGCTGGGTGTGACCCAAAAAAGCAAAAATAAATAAATAAATAAAAAGAAACAGAAAATGCTATATCTAAAATCTGAAATCTGAAACACTTGCACCCTTTTTTTCTCGAATTAACACCAGTATTCTGATTTTACAATAGCAAGGGAGAATTTTGAAACTTAATCCACTTAATTAATTAATTACATTAATTAATTAATTAATACATTAATTCATTTAAGTTTCAAAACAAATAATTTAAGAAATACAAGAAAAAATTAAAAACATTTATTTTTTAAGGAAAGATTATTTAAAAAATATTTCTGAAAAGGCACACATTCTTAGCTTGCACTAAAGAGTAAGTGGCAAATAACAGAGTAAAGAGTGGTCTAGTCCCTGATGATGGAGATGAAACAGAAGCTGAAAGAGTTAAGGACTGGAAGACAAGAACCTACATTAGATTTTATTTCTTATGTGACATCATTTATTTTGTAGTAACTTTCCAAAAGAATAAAGTACAAATAAATGTGATAATTGAATTATCTCCACCTCTCTTTAACTCTACTAATGTAGATAAATAGGAGTTAACTGTAGTCATCTTTTGCAAGGGAAACTTTCAATACACCAGTAACAGTTAATATATACTTAGGGACAAATGTAGAAAAAAGAAAATACCTAAGACACAGTAATCAATGACTGAAAAAAATATGGTAGCCATTACATATTCCTAACATGTGTCATTTTATGTGGATTTTCCAATAGGACTCATGAATAATCAACTATATAACCTCCAATTTTAGTTATAGTCATATCAAATTACAATACGATTTAAATTACATAATGCCTAGATATTTCAAGGAATGATAAACAGCAGATAGATAAAAACAAATAGCATTCAGTTAATCCTATATTAAAGGGCCACCATTTCCTGCAGAGTGAAAACATAGAAAGATTTGCAAAAAAGGGGGAAAAAAAGGCAAAGGAAATAAAAGACTACTAAATCTATTGAAAGTATTGTTATACAATATGACACGATTTAATGATTAGTGGTGTAAGTAGGGTTTCTTGGCCATGTAAGAGAAGGGAGAAAAAGGTCAATAATCATAACCATGCATGCTCAATGAGCTGTTGTATTAGACATAGGAATAAACCTTAAAGTTAATGGGATCCATTATAATTCAATGGGCACATAGCTAATTCAATGACTAGTCAGTTTAAGCATTTGTATTGAAAACTAAACACTGACCCAATAGTCAAGGGTCCTAATAGCATCAATCCATTCCATTTTTAACTGTATTTAGTTTTATGCCCCATTAATTGAACGTTTTCATTAATTTTTAACATTTGGCTTAAATTCATTGTAAAATTATGTGCATAGTTTTGCCTGCATTGATGCTGTTTCACTTTTTCCACAATGTATTATTATATACCATGAAATGGAAAAATTTTCTAATTAAAATTCAATGCAGAGATACCACAAGGCAAAGGTTAGGCCAATAAAACCTTTGTGATATTAGAAAACGGTAAGAATACTTTAATATGGAAATAAGAATACTTTTTTAAAATTTTGCAAAAGGAGAAGATCTTTATTCCCAACAGGAACAAGTAATAAATTTGATGTATCTTTCAAAGTTGATACCCTGAACCCAAAATGCAGAAATGGTACTCATAATGTTAATGCAGTGATACATGTTGAAAACATGTTTATCAGTTTATTGAAAGTATTTAGCATGCATAATGGCAATAAGTCACATTCCCTAGAAAACAGGGGTAGAAGGAGAGATTTAAGTCTATGTAATTGATGTCTCACTTCAGGAAATACTCATAAAAAATAAGAGTATTTCAAAGATCATATTTAAATTGCTTTTGGCACCTAAGCAAATTTGGCTGCCGTACTACTTACAATGAAGACACTTTATTTTTGCTTTTAATTTAATACCACTGAACTCATATGTTGCTACATTACAAAAGTCCTATCAAGTGCAGTAAGCTATTTCATGAAAATGAATTATCATAAAAATTCAATTAGTAATATTAGTACTTCAAGATATAAATTTTCTATCAATATCCAGAGATAGAACCCTGGCAAAGGAGACAGACAAAATGAGCATGTTCAGTAATATTAGTCTACATAAAAATATTTTTAAGAAGATTGTTGTCATTAGCATGATAAGAATGTCTCCTGAGATATGTAAGTCAAAAGAATGTTTATGTGGCAGAATTATGTAAGGAAAATTACAATAGTGCCTGCCCACAAACCATGCAATTTGGAAACAGCCAAGAAACAAAACCATAAAGAAGGAGAGATAACATGTATTAGGGGTTATTGTGCAACTATAAAGATTCAATATGAACCTGGAAATATAGCAAAAAATAGTTATGGAAAAGAAGCTATTTCTTATGCTCAGTAGCTAATTTTCAAACATATGTACCTGTATTTGAAACTTTGAGCATTTCACACATTTTTCTGTATCTGAAAAAAAAATGGATCCAGACTGATATTGTGTATCAATATAACTAAAAACAGTTAATATAAAGGTAGCCAAAAGCAAAGTTCAATAATATTTCTAAAAAATATATTATTCAATTTCTGGTAAAGTATTTATGATGTACATTTAGTTAATATTGGAAAAGAATAATTTACTGACCAATTTTCCTAGAAAGGATGAAATACCTATATTATTTCACAAGCCTATTTCATAAAACCTTCATAAAATATTTTCATAATTTTTAAAAATTTTAATTAAAATATCTAGATAAAACTTTAATTTTTTAAAAATAACATAACATCATTTTGACAACATGTTTTAGTGTCTTATAATTATCAAAGTCTAATATTTAATATAAGGTGATATAAGAAAAATACATAAAGTATTACCAAGTGACTAAAATATCAAATAGGAAATGAATAAACATACTAATTCACTTGAAGGGAAACAAATGTAAAAATCATGGTGGTAATATAAAAATTCATATCCTAGTCCATAATTTAAATTACATGAATATATCTTGCTATTATTGGACATTTGTTTGGAAATGCCACATTACATATATTTTAAAAAAATAATTAAGAATGCTTGAGATAGGTTAAAATATATGCAATAGACTTAGTGACATTACTATCAGAACAGAATTGACAAAATTTATACTTTAAACATTAGGTTTGACCATTACATGGTCCAATTTAGGAAGAAGACAGAATATAATTAATCTATTTTAAAAACATATATAATATAAAATTCAAAAGGTTGATTTTATTTTCCTCTAATTTTTTAAATATATTTTAACTTACTGCTTTGTAAGTTCTCTTTTGTCCAGCATGTTTCCGAATTTGTTCTCCATTTGGCCCTGTTTCCACATGCATAGAATAGATAATGTCAAAGAAATCTTCAACCACAGCTACCCGACGTAAGGACAGTTTCTCATCTACCCCCACGCCATCCTGGAAATCAAAGCAAAACAAACAAACAAAAAATCAATAAAGAACTGTGCATTTAACACATTCAGTTAACACATAAAGTTGGTTAAATAAAAATATTTTGATAGATGGGGCAAAACACTGTGAATGAAAAATCTATCATTTTTATAAGACTCAGGGGCTGGAGTGATAGCACAGCGGTAGGGCGTTTGCCTTGCACGCAGCCAACATGGCCGACCTGAGTTCGATTCCTCCGCCCCTCTCGGAGAGCCCGGCAAGCTACCGAGAGTATCTCGCCCTCACGGCAGAGCCTGGCAAACTCCCCGTGACGTATTCAATATGCCAAACACAATAACAACAAAGTCTCCAATGGAGACGTTACTGGGCCCGCTCGAGCAAATTGAAGATCAACGGGAGGGCCTTTACTTTACTTTACTTTCATAAGACTCAGAACTTTAAGAAATATGAAAAATATATGTGACATAATGATCTTTTCCCACAAATACTATCTCTAAATTTTTAAGCTGATCTATCAGCATATCTTTTCTAAATTCTTCTAAAATTTACACATCAAGTTTTCTTGCCAATTATTCTGAAATATCTTTAGGTCTAAAAATTTTTCATGGCAGTCATTTAATTCTGATTCATTCATCCACTCACTATTTCTTGAGTTTCTAGGTACTGGAAGATGCTATTACAGAGAATAAAATGGATATCTATCCCTTAAAATTTTTATAAAAAAGAAAATATTTCTGAAATGATTTAGATATTAGTAATAGACCCTGTATTAGTAGGTACATTCAGTGTTGCAGCTTAAATGTGTGAGTTCTAGGAATTATCTAGGTGCAGACTCTGGAAATTCCATGAAAATGTTTGATTATGTGTAAATCACCCAAATGTCTCAAAATTTCTATTTTCTCAAATCTCTCTTTTCCCAATGCAACATAAAAAGTGAGTTTACGTAATTTATGTGAAAATTCAATTAATTCACATATGGATGTTTAAAACTCAATGTTTAGCTTTTTCTTTTTCATTTTGGGTCACACCTGGCAGTGCTCAGGGGAACCAAATGCATATGAGATGCCGGAGATTGAACCCAGGTCAGCCTCCTGCAAGGCAAACACAGTACCTGCTGTACTATGACTCCAGTCTCTCAACATTTAGTATACAGTGAACACTAAAAAAATGAAGGATTTGGTCATTTTTATATACATGATTTTTTAAATCAAAGCAAAGTATTGTACAGTTTGAAGAACAGGGATACCACTTCTTGCATAAGTAAAATTTTTGGAAAAAATATCATTTGAAGTGGATAGAAATAAAGAAAGGCATAAGCCAGACAGTAAAAAGCAATCAGCCAAAATTTCCATAAATGGGAGTTAAGAATTGGACTTAATGGTCACTGTCCTCCTGTTGTTCATGGATTTGCTCAAGCAGGCCCAGTAACGTCTCCATTTGAGACTTTGTTGTTACTGTGTTTGGCATATCGAATACATCACGGGTAGCTTGCCAGGCTCTGCCGTGTGGGCAAGATACTGTCGGTAGCTTGTCAGGCTCTTCGAGAGGGGCGGAGGAATCGAACTCGGGTTGGCCATCTTGGCTGCGTGCAAGGCAAACACCCTACGGAAGATAATCTTACATGTTAGCAACATGAAAGTTCCTAGCTTGTTTGCACACAAGCAAACTCATATACACACTGTTTTTCCTTGGATCCTGAAGCATAACTGAAAAATTCTGAGTCACTATACAGGGCTGAGAAATAGAACAGTGGAAGAGCCTTGCCTTGCATATGCCCAACCTGTGTTCAATCGCTGGCAACACATCTGGTTCCTTGTGCCTTATCAAGAGTGATCCCTGAGCACAGAGCAAGGAGTAAGCCCTGAGCATAGCCAGGCATAGCCATGACAAAAAAAGGTAAGAAAATAATTATGCAACAAATGAGATAAATAACAAAATCACCTGCCAGAAGTAGTGCATACAAGTGTGCACAGTGAAAATTGTAAGTAAGTCATGTGGTATTTCATATTTTTGAACGAAATTGATTGGTTTATCATTTATGATGCTCCATGTTTAGGCATATAGCTTCACACACCTCTACATCCTGCAACCGCACCAGGATGCAGTGCCATTTAAACCATAAATCCTCTCTTCTCTCACATCCCCCTTATCCCCAAATAACCATATTATTTTTCAGAGTCCAAGAGAGCTTTCTGTTTTCTGTTGTACTTTTAGTTTTTTTGTTTTGTTTATATTCCAAATGACAGACAATCAGTACTTATCTCTCTCTTGTTCAATGTATTATTGGATTCAATTTGCCAAAATTTTGTTGAGGATGCTTACATATGTTTATTAGGAGTATCAATCTTATTTTCATTTTTGTGCTGTTCTCCTCTGATTTGGGGATCAAATATTCCTCAGCAAAACAGGGATAGGATAGAACAAAAATTAAGTGAATCCAATTGGTAAAAGAAATTCAATTATGACTATTTGCAAAGCACATTATAATATGTAGAAATGCTCGGCACACTACTATAAAACTCTTGAACAAAATACATAAATATAGTAAAGTGACAGGCTACAAAATTAATTTTAAAAAAAAGCTGTTGCAATTCTATATGCGAGCAATATAATAGAAGAGAATGGAGTAAAAAGAATTCCATTAGAAATCAAGTCCAAAGAGTATGTAGGATTGTCATTAAATTAAAGTACATAGAGTTTACCACCGTCACTGTCCTCCCGTTGTTCATCAATTTGCTCAAGCGGGCCTACTAACATCTCCATTGGAGACTTGTTGTTACTGTGTTTGGCATATCGAATACATCATGGGTAGCTTGCCAGATTTACCAAAGACTAAAATAATTGTATACAATGAAAACTATAAAACACTGTTCAAATAGAAAAAAAACCCAGATGGAAAGATATTTCACATTCATGGATTGGAAGAATAAACATTGTTAGATGATCATCCTACCCAAAGCATTACATAGATTCAGACAATTTCTATTAAAATCACAATGATGTATAAAAGGGATTAGAAGATATGTTACAAATTTTTATAGAATAAAAGAACCCCTAAAATAAAACCAAAACAACCTTATCTAAAAGAATTAAGAAATTAAAGAAATCATGCTCTTTAATTTCAATCAATATTCAAAGCTTTAATAACCAAACAGTAAGACAAAATATATTAGACTAAAATATGAAATAAATAGAATGAGAACCAGAATTAAATTATCACACATACACAAAATAAATTTATTGTATAGAACAAAAGATCATAACCTAGTGAAATAAAGTGTCTTCCTTAAAACTAGATTGTCCTGTGTAAATGAAAGATGCTGGATTACAGTCACGCAATTATACAAATAACAGCTTTAAAAGATTTTAAAGATGTTTACAAAGGAAAATATATATTTACCAACTAACAAAGGGGGCTCTGACAGGAAATAAACATATTATAAAGCAAAACAGAAAATATGTATCCATAATGAATGCCCTTTAGAGCCAGAGAAATAGAGGAGCAGTTACAGCACTAAACATCTACCAAGTCAAGAACGGTTTGATGCTGACCACCACATACAAATGATCTCCTAAGCACCGTCAAGAGTAAGCTCTGGGCACAGAGTCAGGGGTTGGCCCTGAGCATGGCCAGAAGTGGCTGAAAACCAGAAATAAATTAAAAATGAAAACGAAACAGGAGTCAGAGTGATAGTATAATGGGTAGGGGGCTTGTCTTGCAAGCAGCAGACCTGGATGAGATCACTGGCATCCTAGATCAGCACCCAAGTAGTGAAGGGGTGTGATCCTTGAGTGCAGAACCAGAGTAAGTGCTTTGCAAAGCAGGCTGTGGCTCCACAAAATTTTTTAAAAAGCATATTAATAGACTAGGAAATATAGAGGTAGAGATCATCTCACTGATTATTAAAAACATCCTTTATATGTTATCTAGAAGAAATATATATGTATCCAAGAATGCAATGGTTAAAGTTAAAAAGATACAGCTACTGGTTAAGGAAAAAAATTAAATAAGGTATTAGTAGTAAAATTAAATTAAAAATTAAATATGTGTATTAGTATTAGAGAACATGGACTTTAAACATTTTAAAAGTTACTAAGTAAAAATTTTGTAGTAGAAAGGGGTTAATCTACCAGAAATGCATAATATTTATGATATTCTATATCAGTTTAAGTGACCCTGCAGTGGTTCTGGTGATATCCCAACATTGCCGAGTTGGAACACACAACATCCTCAGTTCTTGCATTGAAATTTCACCTGTTTAACTAAGTGTTATGGGTAATGACCCTGAGGACCCAAATGCTCTCCTGGAGAGGACCATACAATACATGAATTTTAAAAATTAACATACAAGGGTCATAGACATAGTGCAGTAGATAAATGGAGGCCAAGACTGGCTTGAAACCCAAGGCCTCAAGCACAAAGAGAGACACCTGAACACACGAGGAGTGGTCCCTTAGTATGGCCAGGTGTAATCCAAATCCCTCGGCAAGAAAGAAAAATAATGAAATTAACTTCGTTGCTTGTATGCTTTTTATTTCAGATTTGAGGGCAATACTCAGCAGTACTCAGAGACTATTCCTGATCCTGTACTCAGGTGTAACTCCTGGCAGTACTCAGAAGACCAGACAGGATGCTTCATATCAAACTTGTGTCATCTGCGTGCAACCTTACTTTGTGTATTAATTCTCCAGCACAAAAAATTAAAATTTATGCATCAAATTACAGAACTTGAAGTTCTACATATATACCATGCACATCAATATTGAAAAACTCACAGAACTAAAAAGAAAATTATCCAATGCAATAATAAAGATTTCAAATCCCATTTCAAAAACTGAAAAGCAAGACAGAAGGTAAATAAGGACATTTAAAACTTAACACTCATAAAAAACCAAATATGCATGCAATAAAACTTCCACAAGCAAACAAATTTTTTTCAAAGTGTACCAGATCCAAGACATAAAACAAAAGTCAATAAATGAAACTGAAATCAAATTTTATATCACTTCTCATAGAAATTGAGTAAAATCATAAATAAAAGTAGAGAAATTTTAGAAATCTACAAAGATAAAAAAATTAATCAGCATGTTAAAAATCATAGGTCAGAGGCATCAAAAGAAAATTTTTGAAACTGGAACTTAGAAGGATAATGATTTTAACAGACTTAAAAAAAATAAGATATCTATCTTTACATTTAACTAGAAAAGCAGTCTTATATTAAGTAGAAGAAATTTTTTAAAAGGAAAACAAATGCACTAATGGGAGCAGAAGAAAAGCAAAAACATCTACTAAAGCAAAGGAAAATTTTTGAAAGGGTTTAATGATAAATTCTAGCTTTAATGATCATAATTAAAAGACATAACAAATTAAGTCAAAAATAAAATTCTCTATTGTGGCACTTTGACCTTCAAAAATAGTATAGAATATAGTCTATTCTATTAGAATTTATGTTAACAAATCAAGTAACTATATAAAGAAACAAATGTAAGAAATACTTTTCACAAGAAAATTCCAGGCCCAGAAGGCCATTAAACTGAACATTCAACATGTTAAGGTAAATTTATTTCAAATTATTCCAGACAACAGATGACAACACACTTCTCAAATCATTTCACAAAGTCCCCTTACTGCAATGTCAAAAATATAACACAACTATAAACCACTACTTTTTATGAACAAGAAATTAAAATGTCAAGAAAGTACTAGAAAATCAAATCAACACTGTGCACAAATTATATACTATAATCAGTTAGGTTAATCCCAGATAAGCCAGGCAAAATTGATTTAACACAAGAAAGTGAATTAATGTCATATAGTACTTCAATTGAATAATGCACAATGCCATACTGTTACCTCAATCAAAAAAAAAAAAGCATTCAACATTAACTGGCCATTCTTCACTGACAAAAACTCTTAGTAAGTTTGATAATAAAAGGATTCTTTCAATCACATATGGAGCATCTCCAAAAATTTGAGAGTAAGAGTTAAAGAAGAAGACTCTGCAGTGTTCCCCAAAATAAGAGATTTAGAGAAGCAGCTGTGCAGCCTCAGATGCAAGGAGAGAGCGCTTTTCTGTTCACTTCAAGAATGCAGGTTCTGGGACTGGAGTGATAGCACAGTGAGTAGGGAGTTTGCCTAGCATGTGGCCAACTGGGTTCAATTCCCAGCATCCCATATGGTCCCCTCCCCCTCAGCACCACCAGGAGTGATTTCTGAGTGCCAGGGAGTAACCTCTGTGCCAGGAGTAACCTCTGTGCATCACCAGGTATGACCCTCCCCCCAAAAAGCAGAATACTCAATGGGTTTTCATTTTGTTATTTTTCTTCCTGAAAAGGGGGCCATACCCCAGAAGCACAAGGACTTAATGCAGAACCCAGCAGCTTGGAGCAGAAAAGTGAACGGACTATGCGTTGATCCAGGCCATCAAGTCTGCCGGAGGGGAAAGGGTGTTGCCCCATTCGCCCTCTCCTCTCTGGAAAGAAAGATGGCGGCCACATGGTAGCCTTGTGGATAGCAGGTATGAGCCGGGAGTGTGGGGGCGACTAAAACCTCATGGGAAGGGGGGCGTTTCGCTCCGCCCTTCACGCCCTACCGAGGCCACCGGTTGCCCCCCGCGAGCGGCTCTCCAGCACGGCCACGACTCCAGAACACAGAAACCAATTTCTTAACTATCTGACTTTCAGTAGAAATACCTCCAGGGTCAATAGGTAAAATAGCCTAAATCCAAAACCAACATTTAATTCTTGAACCCAGCTGTAGAAAGCAAATCACTTCACAATGCTTTTTCAGCATGTCTGATTTGGGGGGGGGGGGTAAACTCTAAAAAATAGTGGTGAATCTTTTATTGAAACAATGAATCAAATCAAAGCAGATAGAGTGTTAACTAGAATTCATCTGCCTCACAGGGACGGGAAGGGGTGGGGGTGGGGTTTTATTGGGGTTCTTCATGGTAAAAAATAAGTATTGGTAAAGGGAAATGTGGTTGATATTTGCATGACTGAGACATAAACCTGAAAGCTTTGTAACCTTTCCCACAGTGATTCAATAAATAAATAAAAAAAAGGGGGGGCCATAGGCCAAATATGTTTGGAATCTCTAATTCTAATCATTTCTTGTTCACAGTTTATTGGAGGTTCAAGTTAGGAAAGTCAGACAGAAAGAAGAAAGGTCACCTAGATAAGGAAGCAAATCTACCCCTGCTCACAGTTAACATAATCTTCCATATAGATATTGTTATGGACACATGGTATTTGTTAAAACTAAGAATTGATTCCACATAATTAAGATCCAAATTCAATATACAAAATCCAATTATATTTCTGTTCACTAGAAATGATCAAAAAAGGGAAAACATATTTCATTTACAATGGCACCAACAAGACACAAACCTAGGTATAGATTTATATATAAATTTAACAAAAAAGTACAAGATTTATACACTAAAAAACTCCAAACATTATTATGAAAGTTTTAATTCACCCAAATAAATCAGAGGCATCCTATGCCGTGGATCAAAAAGCTTAATATTGCTAAAATGGTATTATTTAAAATAGTTTATAGATGCAAAGGAATCTCTATTAAAATATTAACTAGTGTTTTATTTCCAGTCATTGACAACTTCTATTTCATATGTAAATACAAGGTACTAAGAATAGTTCAAATAATCTTTTAATAGAAAAATTTAGTATAATTGCCTCATCAACATATACACTCAAATTGGAAGGACAAAGAGAAGATTAATAATAAGCCCCTGCACAAGGATTACACAAAAATCTGTGTAGTCTTTCATATTTTTCTGTAGTCAAAGGAGAAAGAACAGATATCAGATGATTTCACTCAGCTGTGATATGCAGAGAAACAAACACCAAAAAAAGCTAAAAGACCATATTAAATGATGACAAACCCTGACTGCAGAGTTGAGAAGACTAAGTAGGGGAGAGTAGGTGTAGGTCTAGTGTTGAAGTGAGTAGTTCTGAACAACAAAATCATAGGAGATAAAATGAAACAAAGTAGGAATATTTCAAGTGCCCCAGGGCAACAGAAACTGCAAACTGTTCTTGAGTAGATAGGGATGAGGGGACAATAGGATGCTGGCTGGGGTAGTGTCCTCCAACAATGGTGGAGAGAAGACAGGCTGGTGGAGGGTGTGGTGGGGTAACGCTCTATTCATAAAACCCTATTAGTAACAGCATTCACAACCACAATACTTTAAAGTTTTTAGAAGATGAAACTAAGGATGCGACCTCAACAAAAATAATTAAATAATTAAAATTAAAAAACCAACATGGAGGTCTCCTACATCCTGATTTCAAAACATACTTTCATCTAATGAAAATCATAATAAGGACATCCATCATGAGACTGGCATGAACATAGATAGGATTTATCAAAGGAGTAGGATTGTGATTTCACAGATAAACCCTTACACTTATTTTCAATTCACTTTTAACTGAAGTGTAAAGAGAGTGCACAGGGGTTAATGCAGTTTTTCAGCAATGGCTCTAAAACAACTGGATTTCTAGGAGCAAGTCAATGAAATCAGAGGCTAGTGAGAAGTTGTATATGTGGGGCCAGACTTCAAATCTTGGCTCCAGATGGTTCCCCCACACACTGCTAGCTGGAAGTCCCCACCATCTCTCTGGGAAGCAGCATCACAATAGCACTCAGGAGCACTAATCCATCCCATCTGCACAGGTGGGCTGAGTAGCAACCAGTGTTCCCCATCTCCCTTGTATATTTCTAGAGAGGCCCCCTAAGAAGAATAAAATCAAATTCCTACCTTATACAAAATATGAAAAAAATTTGTATCACTGTTCTAAACATAGAAGCTAAAAATATAAAATTCTTGTAAGTCCCCAAAGTGTTTACAGCCTTGGATAAAATAAGGTCTTCTTAAGGATGATACAAAAAAGGAAAGCAAATTAAAAAGCTGTACAAACTGTACAGGATCAGAAATTACACTCACATTTATGACAAAAATGAAAATAGTTGAAAAATATCTTTATTCTTATGTTCTATACTGCTTTGTGTAAAATAGCAAGGCACAGAAACAACTTAAGTATTCAACTTTATACAAATGGATAAAGGAAGTGTGAAATGTAAATAATGGAATATTAACTAACCATAAAAAGATTAGATTCTGCCGTTTGTGACAGAATATCTAAACCCTTACAGCATGATGCTGTTAAATAAGTCACATAGAGACAGGAAGATAAAGGGCTATGGTTCATGCGTTGCACGCCAGATGTCCAAGTTTGGACCCTGAAACACCAATCCCAAAACAGTTCCTTAAGAACCTCAAGGTGGTAGGAAAACAAAAATAAATTAAAGATATATAGAAAAGTATTATAACCTAACCTACATATGTGTAATATATACACGGATTATATATAAACATGTAAATATGTATGTACAAACATATACATATATACATATACAAAATCCTGGTTCATGGAGAAGACATTAGTGGTTGCCAGACACAGGTTACTTCTGGGTAGTGAGTGAAACAGTGAAGGTGGTCAAAAAGTGCAATTTGGACCAGGGAGATAGGTCAGAGCAGGAACACATATCTTGTGTTCAAAATAAATTGTGAGTATGTGGTTGATGAATGCTAATTAGACATCTTTTAACACATGCCAGATAATGAACTCAGGGTCTCACACATAAGAGACAACTGTTCTACCAGCATACTAGACTAACTTTGCTGATTACTTTACAATGTTTACATATAAAATTTAATAGTTATAAAAATTAAGTTTTAAATATACATTTCTCTATAGAAGCTCAGTAACAAGTACAAGAGAAAAAGGATCAACAATATTTGTAATCAGAAAAATTCAAATAAAAACTTCAAAGACATACTATTTCATGCTCACTGAGGATTGTTACAATCAATAACTGTTGGACTGGAGTGATAGTATAGCGGGTAGGGTGTTTTTACCTTGTACACGGCCAACCCGGGTTCAATTCCCAGCATCCTGTATGGTCCCCTGAGCACCGCCAGGAGAAATTCCTGAGTGCAAAGCCAGGAGCAACCCCTGTGATCACCGGGTGTGACCCAAAAAGCAAAATAACAATAATAATAATAATAATAACTGTTGAAGACATGTAGAACTCAGAGTTATCACACATCACTGCTGGGAATGTAAAATCATGCGGTTTCTTTGGAAATGGCATGGCAGAAACTTGCAAAATTAAACACAGACTTTCCAGAAGATTTAGTAAACCCACACTTATGAAAAATATATAAGAAAAATTGAAATAAACATCAACATAAATGTATTATAAAAACATATATACTGAATGATTTATTTACACTATCCATAAGAAAAAAACTTAAAAGATTAATGGTTGATTGGAATGTTCTGCCTCAATATACTTTAAAGATTCATGTCTGATCTCAAGGTCTTTGATCAACTTTGAGTTGACTTTTGGTAAGGTGTTAGATATTAATCAAGCTTTAATTTCTTGCATGTAATTATCCAAATCTCCCAACACCATTTTTTGGAAAGGCTACATATATTCCATTTCATATTCTCACCTCTTTTGTCAAAAGCTAGCTTACTACATATATGGGGTCTATCCTTGAATATTCTATTCTGACCCATAGGTCCAAGAGTCCTTCTTTATTCCAGTACTGTGCTGTTTTGATTATGATGGCTATAAAATATAGATTGAAGTAGTGAGATTCCTTCCATTTTCTTGATTTTTAGAATGGTTTTGACTATGCAAGGTTTTTTATGATTCCACACAAACTTTATAATTGACTGTGCTCAGTCCCTGAGAGACATTTTCTAAATTTAGATACATATTACACTGAATCTATATAGTAGTTTAGGTAAGGTGGCTATTTTTGAGGTCATTTTGACAATATTGTCTTCTAATACAGAATTATGGAACGTTTTTCCATTTCCTGAGGTGGTTTTTCATTTCTTTCTTTAGTGTTTTTAAGAAGTCTTAATTGTATCTGTGTCTCACCTCTTTAGTTAAGTTGATTCCTAGGTGCTTGATATTTTTTGACAGTGCTTTAAATCGGACGGGCTCTTTGATCACTTTCTCCTCTGATTCACTATTTATACAAGGAATGCAATCAATTTTTGTGTATAGAATTTGTAGCTGGCCACTTTGTGTGTTGGTTTATTTTTTTTCTAGGAGCTTTTGTTTGGACTCTTTAGGGTCCTCAATGTATATCATCATGTCATTTGCAAATAGAGATCATTTGACTTCCTCATTTCAAATTTGTATCCCTTTTGTTTCCTTTTCTTGCCTGATTGCTGTTGCCATGACTTCTAATACAAAGTTGAATAAGAGTGAGAACATTGGACATCCTTGTCTTGTGCCTGATTTTAATAGGATTGTTTTCAGTTTTTCATCATTAAGAATAGTATTGGTGGGACTGAAGCACAAAGAGGAGAGGACATTTGTCTTGCATGTGGCCCACACAGGTTTAATCCTTGGCATACCATAAGGTGCCCCAAGCACCAACGGGAGTAATCTCTGAGTACAGAGCCAGAAGTAAGCCCTGAACATTACTGGGTATACCCACAAAAACAACAGTAACAAAAATATTGGCCATGGGTTTTCATAGATAGCTCTTACTAACTTGAGGAAGTCACAGTCTATACTTACTTTATTGAGGCTTTTTTTTATCATGAATATGTATTGGATCTTATCAAAAGCTTTCTCTATAAAGAACTCCAACAATACAATGCCATTGACAAAGGCTACAGAACCAAACTAAACAAATGGGACTACGTCAAACTTAAAAGTTTCTGTCTGGCAAAAGAAACACTGGCTAAAACTAAATGACAGTTGAGGGGGAGAAAATATTCACACTCAATGCATCAGATAAAGGGTTGATAGTCAGGATCTATAAAGTACTCAAAAAGATCAAAAACAACAACAACAACAACAAAACTCTAAGAGTCTCATCAAAAAATGGGGAGAGGATATGAATAGACAATTCTCTGAGGAAGATCAAGTGACAGCCAACAAGTACAAGAAAAACTGCTCATAATAACTCATTATTGGGGAAACCCAAATCAAAATGACAATGAGATATCATCTTAGACCAGTGAAAATGGCACATATCAAAAATACTGGGAAGAATCTCTGTTGGCAAGGAGATGGTCAAAAAGTAACCCTCACGCACTGCTGGTGGGAATGTTGTCTGATCTAATCCCTATGAAAATTGAACATACACAGTAAACTTAGAATAGAGCATCCATATGACCCAACAATTCCACTTTTGGGCCTCTATCCATGGGACAGAAAAACATCTATTCAAAAGAATGTAGAAACACATTCACTGCAGCACACTGTACAGTAGCTAAGATTTGGAATCAACCTAGATGGTCAATGATAAATAAGTGGATCATGAAGGTATGGTAATATATACACAAGGAATAATAGAGCCAAATATCCAAACTATAGAGTCAACAGGACTGAAATCAAGAAATCTGAACTTCAACAAGCAAATTTGATGTCTGTCAAGAGGGGAGGCTTGGGGGAAGGGGAGAGGAAAGATGGGAGAGAGATTGGGAACAATGGGATTGGTGGATAAAAGTTGACACCGGTGGGACTGGTGCTATTATCTAAGATACTATCTGGTGTATTATCCAAAACTGAACTATGAATAACTGGAAATCATGATGCTTAATAAGAATTTAAATTTAACGTTTCTAAAATTTTTAATAGAATCGTGGTTGCTTAGATTGGAAAAGAGAGAATAATAAAAGACAATTAATGCAACAAAGTGTCTTTAAAAGGGACAAAATACTCTAAAGTCAGATTATG